TGCGCTTCTCGTATGTCTTCTTCTTCTACTCTGTGTCTTCTCGTATTACTTTCTTCTTTCTTCTTTTAGTCATGCTTCCTTATTTCTATCGTCGATCACATTATCTTCTTCTCTTTGGCTTCTTGCATATCTCCTTCTTCTTCTCATTTTGTTCCATCATCTTTATTCTTCGGCTCATTCTTTGTTTCTTCTGGTCCTTTGCTCGCTTCTAAAATCGCTCTTGACTCTTCTTCTTCTCTCTGTTCTATTTCTTCTTCATTCGTTTTCATTTTTCTCACCACTTCCGTCTTACTCCTGTGCCTTCTTTTTTACTCGGTGTTTCTTCTTCCTTATCTTGTCCTCTCTCGTGCATCGTCCCGTTTCCCTGGTCCTCTCGTTGTTCGTCTTCGTTTTCTGCTTGCGTGTGCTTGTTCTCCTTAATCTTACTAGTCGCCGGCGTTGCGCCCTTCGTGATTTCGCCAGCAGAACCTGTGAAATTTGAAACCGACACTAGTTCACGTTTTGCCTCCAGTCGTTCGCTTCGTCTCGTCGATGCCATCTAAAACTTCTGAAGGTTGTTTTGTTCGAGTTCAGACGGCGGAGATTGCCTCCGCAGACGCACGCAGTCACGGCCAGAGCGACAAAATCTTTTGAGAATGGATGAAGGAATTATTCTAAAAAGACATAGCGCATGTATCTGGCGCTTAACGATTGTACTGCCGAGTCAAGGTTACACTGTCGCGGTTTTTTCTATCTTGCGCGCCGTGTCATGTTCGTTCTCGCGTTATTAATGTACTGGCCGGAACGAGGGGAAGTTGGAAATAGACACGATTGCCGGATTGAGCAGTAGTAATGGTGTTGAGAAATAAATACAAGTATCATGAACGCTGAAAATGGAAATCCGAACGAGCCGCATGGAAAGTGATATATGCTACTATATATATATTATAGGTATGCACTACTCCCGGTATATACCTAGTATATTTTATTTGTATTTCTTTGTATATATACGTTACGTGTGTGGCGGCGCGCGCGTGTTGGGTTTGGGTGTACGTGTGGTGTGGGGTGTGGCGCGGTGTGCGTCAGCGATAACGCGTGTGTGGGTACGGCGCGGCGCGCGCGGGTGTGTGTGTGTATGTGTCGCTCGCTCGCTCGTTGTGTTGGATGTGGTGCTGTTGGTGTGCGTGCGTGTGCGTGTGCGTGTGCGTGTGCGTGTGCGTGTGCGTGTGCGTGTGCGTGTGCGTGTGCGTGTGCGTGTGCGTGTGCGTGTGCATGTGCGTGTGCGTGCGTTTGTGTGCGTGCGCGAGCGTGTGCGTGCGTGTTATCTCGACGATCTGTCTCAACAGAGGTAAGAATAATTCGTTGGCTGATGCGTGGATGCATCGTACATAGCACATCGCGCCTTATTACCGACTCATCACACACTTCCGTAATTAATCTAAACTAGATTAGAATTGCATTTCGCAGACGGATTTTCCGCGCATGTCGCTCGCGTCTACGTACGTTACTAGCAGTGTATAAAATAGCAGCCCCCCCCCTCCCCCACACACACACAGTTCGTCCGTTGCTGTTTTCCGTAGTAACCTTTCAGTAGTACTGGCTAAATATTACGGAATTTTCCACAGTTTATATAGTAGAAATCACAAATTTCGAAATCGGGACTGGCTGTGTTTATACATATTACATACATGTTTCCAAGACCGGTTACGCGGTCATCTACGTCGTATCTTAGACGAGTGATAAATCGGCGTGGCGGGTGAGAAACGCACGCACGCGGGCTGCGCCACGTGTTCGCCAGCTCGTTTGACAAGCAGCTCGAAGAAGACGAGTTATAGTCACGTCCGCTCGTCGTGTTTGAATGAAATAGGAGTTGCTGCCGATGTACCACATCCGACTGCGCAACGTCGTCGTCGGCGACAGCACGATCACCTAATTCAATCCTAATTACATTAATTAACTGTAGTTAATTAACAAATTACGATTTAGTGAACAATTAATTGCATTTGTATAGCCGGCGGGGATTCCCCATGGTTTATAGTTAGCGCGATAAATTTCACGGTATTTAGGAATTAGTACGCACTGAGATGGCTGTCTCAGGTGTCAAACTGTCCACAGTTCACACGCACTGGGCATCAGAATTTTTCGGGAGAAAATTTCATCGACTTCTTTTACTGTCATGTTATATCGGAGGCGAAATATTCTCGGTCCCGCGTGTGTTGCTGATGCGCGCAGACATGCAAAGTGGCTTTGTGCTACATTGTTTTTTTGCAAATCGCTAGATATCTAAATCTCTCTTGCTTTCTCTTTCTCTCTCTCTCCCTCACTCTCTCTCTCACTCTCACTCTCTCTCTCTCTCTCTCTCTCTCTCTCATTTGCTTTCTCTCTCTCTTTCTTTCTTTCTCTCTCTCTCTTCGTCGATCTTCTATTTCTTTTATCTGGCTCGTCTCTCGCTCTCTCTCGCACTGCACCCATCTCTTCTCTCTTCTCTCTCTCTCTCCTCTATCTCTCTCACTACCCCCCATTCTCTCTCTCTCACTTCACTGCACTCTACTCACCACTCCCATCATCACCACTCTCTCTCTCTCTCTCTCTCTCTCTCCACTAACACCCCACTCACTCACTTCACTCACTCACTATCACTCACTCCTCATCCTCACTCACCACTACTCACCACTCTCTCTCGCCGTTCTCTCTCTCACGAACCCACTCACTCACTTCATCACTCATTCCTCACTGTCCTCACTCACTTCACTCTCATCATTCCTCCTCACTCATCAGCTCCACTCCGTACCCACTCACTGCCTCTCTCCAGCGCGGTGACGGTGGGCCGAAGGAGGCAGGCAGCGTCACCGTAAACAAGTGCCTTGCATCGACGGCGTTATAGTCAGTCTCAAGGGTGCGAACGAAGGCCGATTCTCGCCTCATCTATTATTCCCACCGGCACGGCGTGGGGGCCCCGGAATCCGCCGACATTACTGGTTTTATATGCACGGTAGCGTGCTATTAGTCATGATCAGGGAGGGCCGGGACGGGCGGTGATAATGACTTATCTGTATCATTATCCCCAGGTCATGATGCTATGATCGTATGTCAGAGGACGGAGACGGCAAGTTCTCGCGACCGTTATTGACCTCGATCGTCAGCGTGAAGTGATATTTGCCTTGCGTTACCGAGGAGTTTAGTTGGTTCCACGCTAAAAATATACGCGGCGTTGCTTGCCACGGCTTGCTTTAGCCGTCATTGCTCCGGCTGCTTAGCGCGGATCATATTCCGCGCACTAAGCGCGTATATTCAGCCCACGCTGGCCGCGCGTTGATTGTTCGTGTACTCTTGCTTACCCGTTCGCTGGCCCGACGTTAGGGTAGCGTGTGGAACTGTCGACGGGTCAGTCTATAATTATAGCCGGTAGCTTAAGCTCGAATCTGGGATAGCTCGTGTGAACGCATTTTACCGGACTTAGCACCAATAAGTACGGTACCAGCTTGCGATGTTACGTCGAATTCAACTCGGTGAGCGCTATGTCCATATAGCATAACCATGGATCAGATGATATATAGTTTATCTTTTATAACTATTATTATTCACTCTTGATAGGATTTACGATCACATCAGTTTGACATCGTTCACCGTAGACGTCGCCATAATACTAGTAAAATGGATTTTAAAATAGAATTGGAGCGTCGTTTCCCTCGCGCTTTGTAGTGGATATAGATGGATAACAAGCGCATATGCGTGCGAGGTGGTCGGGTACGCAACAGCACCGCCAAACGGGGCGCACCGCCCCAACGCCGCCGCACGCACGCACGCACAACAAACCTGCAAAAACGCGCATGCGACGCCGTGCGCTGGATGCGTCGTGTGCGTTTCGCTGATTCGTTGAAGATTCGCGGTTACAGTTGATCGGTTGTTGTAGGTATTGGTTTGGAGCAGCGATACAATCTGGTAACACGGCAGCATAGGGTCACTCACTCACGCTGAACCAGCGCGAAAAGCCTGTTCACGTGAGAGTTTGGTTCACTCTCAACTCCGCGCAGAAGCCACGTTTAGTTTTTATTAATGTTTCATAGGGATTCAAACTGCCAAGGAAAGGGAGGAAAACGACGACAACTGCGAACGATGCTGAGGCCATCTCTCCGGGAAAGAGACGACGTTCAGAAGTCCATACGCCACCGCTATCATCGATGAACCACGTCACCACATACCATCCCCACCACATATCACACACCACTATCTCGCCGTCTCTTCGTCTGCCAGCTACGTAATTGACGAAGTGCAGCGAGCTGCTCTCATCTGCGCCCCCTGCGATGCCCCCACGGACCGACTCGTTTGTCTAATTCGATTTGTCGTGTCGAGTTCGTTGTCGAGTTCGGAACGCGTTCGAGTATTTCCGTGGATTCGAATACTCTCTGGAGTTCACGGGACATTTCCAGTTGCGCGTATACCGGGAATTTCACGCCGATGGTGATGTACATAGATAGCTGGCCCATGGCGGGGCGAGATGTCCGCTAAAGTCGAAGTTAAGAGAGACAGCTGGTTTCTATTTCTACCGTCAGTTTATAGATCGACCGA